TATAATAATAAAATAAGATATAATCATTTTTATTCTTTGTTATTATTATTTTATATTAGATGATATTTTATTATTTTGTATTTGTTTATATTGTTTGTTTATATTTTATTATTATTATTTATTGTTGTTTATTTTATATCATTTATTTATTATATGTTGTATTGATATTTAACAATGTTAATATGAAATGAATGATAATGAATAAATATAAAATAAGAATAAAAAGATATAAGAATATAACATAAATAATAAAATAAGAAATATATAATAGATATAAAGATAAAAGAAGAAGAATAAAATAAATAAATATAAAATAAAATAAATAAAATAAAAAATAAATAAAAAAGAATAAAATAAATATTTTATTATATTTTTATTTATCTTTTATTCTTATTTCTTTTTATTATTTATTAAATTAACACATTGAATATGAATATTTCAAATAAAATAAAACAAGAAAGAAATATGAACATTTTTATATTCATCATTTCATTCATTGATTTTATTTTATATTCTTTTTTAATTTTATATTTCAAATAAATAATAATGAATAAAATCATTTCATTTCAATTACAATGATTCTTTGTTGTGTGAAATTATATTTTCCACAAAGTGCATTTGATATTCCTTTATATCAAATGAATATTGAATACAAAATGATAATGTTTTATTATTTTCTTTATAAACAAAAATATCACCACATCCAAATCCAAACAAATAATCACTCGATTGATTATATAAATAAAATGCATGTTGTGGATATTTAGTATCAAATTTCATCATTCATTGTATTCTTCCTTTTGATTTTATTGAAAATAAAAATGATTTTGGATCATTTATAAAATCATTAACTTCATCAATTTTCACATTAACATATCCTCCAAATTTATTTCCATTTGAATCTTCAATGATAATTATTATATGTTCTTTATTTATTATTCTTTGATAAAATACATCAGTATTTTTATTCCAATCATCTTTATCTGAATCAAATAATATATTTGATACTTTTCTTTCTGTCCATTCTAGTTGTTTCATTTTTTTTCAATTATACTCATTCCTTTCATTATTCTTAATCTTTTTCTTTCTTGTCTCTTTTATCTTCTTCCTCTCTAAACAGTCACTGTATTATGTAAACCTCTTCTTTTTTTTTATTAAATCTTGTTTTAATATTGTTAATTTCTTCTTCTAATTTCTTAATTTTATCTTCTTTATTCATTTCTTCAATTGAAATGATTTTATCTATTAGTTCATTCTTAGCTTTATTAATTGTTTCTGAATCATCATTACATTCTTCTATTATTTTATTCACTTATTTTTAATTATTTCTATTGTTTTGTTTGTTGCATATCCTTTTTCTATTACTATTTTTCTTCTTCTTTCTGTTTTATCAATTCTATCAAATATTCCTTCTCCTCTTTTAATTG